TCCATTCATCACTTGTAAGCCACGAGTCTCTCTCCGAATTTCTCTAAGGTTTTCCTCTTGCCATACCCATGGATGTTCGATACTTTTAGTTGTTGTAGTAAGAGCCATGCTTTTTTTCTCGTTTCAATATACGCGCCATCGCCATTTGACAAAATCCCATGAATGTCATTTTTCTCTTGACCCCCAGAATATTCATGTTTTCGCTCCCAGTAATTTTTCGGCGCATAAACCGACAAAAAAGGGAAACCGAAAGTAGCTCACTTTTTCTGAGAATCACGCTCATTCAGCATGGAGTTTTCTCGTTTTCAGGAGACAAATATTTGCAGAATTGTTGTGAGGCTTTTTGTGATCGGAGAAGCCTTCGGAAATTATTTGTATTGTATTTTCATCCATATAGTATGAGGTACAGGCAAATTGGTTTAATGTATGTCCTCTGTTCAGGCATTGTGTGATGATCTTGTCAGAAGTCGAAGGATTTCCACGTCGAACAATTGAAAATGGTCATTTTTTTTAAATTCGACGGAGTCGTTCTTTGAATAGATATTGAAATTTCGAGCGCATGTATTCTCACTTTTTTAATTGAGAAGTTTCGCTCTTTAACCGATTATGCATTATTATGGAATTTTTAATTGGACGGAATAGACATCCACATTTGAGTTTTTGAACTGTCTCTCAAAAAAGAATCCTCCAACAGCATTTCCTCATTTGGTTTGGAATCGTAAAAATTTCTTTAAATTTTTGCCGAACATTTTTATTGCATCCACGCACGTCAGTATTGACATAGAATCATTGTCGACAAGTATTTTTTCGCGAGAGTGAAAAATAATAATATTTACTCGAAGGTTTTCCTACTCTAAATAATTCAAAGAGATCAATCAAAACTAATATTTTATCTGATTTTATTTACGTTTGGAGGCTTCGATGCAAATTCAAATCATCAAAACCGGCTCAAACTTGTCAAGCACAAAAAATTGAACTTCTCAATATCGCGGGATGTATATTTAAATCGTCCGTTTAAAAAAAAAACTCAGAATCCAGCAGCAATTGTTTGATAACAGTTTGGATTTTGTATCAAAATCCAGCTAAATATCACATTTGACGAAAGAAAAAAATTCTCCAGCTTTATAATACAGTATAATTTTGTTGTTGTTGGTACTATGGTATTATTTTCCATTGTATAGGCAACTCAAGTGCAGTACAGTAATTCGAGAATTGAAAACTTTTCATGGAAAAATGTCCATCACTAAACCATTTTACAAACATTTTCGCATGAAGGCAGCCTTTACGCAAGACGATTTAAAATTTTCCGGAAATAATATGACAGGTAAATTCTAAAAAATCAATTGTCCACAATTATTCAGGAAACCGCGTTGAAATCTGAATGATAAATGCGTCAAGTATAATGCATGAATTGATTACCTGGCATAGAAATCACGTTATTATCTGGAGTATACCGTGGGCCACAAATGTCAAAGTGCGAATGCAAAACGGCCTCTGTACTCGAATATATTCGAGTCAGCGGCCGCATCCCAGTTCCCAGGCCATTTTATTCTTGAGTGCGGCCTATTCAAGCGTGAATAATGTATACCTACGCATTCTGTACTTACGCCGCTTTCGAAGCTGGCATATTCCACTCCCAAGCAACATAAAATGCTGGTAAAGTAGTAAAAGCCCGGCAACCATTCAATGACTATCGTTGCTCCAGGTTCGTGTGCGAAACCATGAGGAGATGGACAGCAGGGAGTGCCTCTTCGCAATGACGGAGGAACCCGAAGGTGGAGCCTCGAAAATCCTCGGCACCCCCAGTACCTTTCGGCAGTGAATCGTAAGTCGACTTCCTCGAACCACGGCGTCTATAAATCTCGTGTTGTTGGGCGAGACTTGAGTTATGTGCAACGCTGACTGGACCCACAGTTACTGACCGATTCGCAGTGGACCTATAAGTAGTATTTTCTGGCCCACGAGTCCTGGTCCACCAATCCCGACGTTTCTCCAAGTACTTAGCCTCCATGTCTGGTCACCATGGCGCACTTTCCGATCGTATATCTGAGATAGTACCCCGTTCCTTTTGCCGGGATCCACGGGAACCCGCAACTGCGCATTTCGGGTTAGATTGACGGCTGACGAGTTGCCCAATCAGAGACCTATGTTGTTGGAGAAGTTAATGTCTTTATATCCGACATTAGTTTATTACAGAGAAAAACCAGTTCCTAATTTTATTTACACACATAGAATTTTACTGCATACGAAATGAAATTATACCCGAGTTTTATCCGCGAACTCTCAATTTTGAAACTACTGTTTTACAGCACACCGAAGTTTTCATCAAATTAGGAAACCCATACCAATTGCATTTAAAGAAAGACAAAGAAAGCATGCGCATTCGAATTACAATTTCTGCGTGAATATTACGATAAATTTTTCGAATTTCGGCATGCATATCTGCAGCATTTGCTATAAACGGTTTCGCACTCTAATTTAGGAATAAACCTGTATGCCGATTAGTTGCACTATTATAGTCGCTGAATCTAAACAAAGCTGTCATCATTGAGGTCTTTAAATCATCTATCTCAATAATAATTGACTAATTTGACTCGGAACGTGTTCATCACATGTAAATACAATTATTTTTTAAGGAGTGATGAATCTCGTTTTTAAAACGAAAGTAAGGAGATGAAGGAGAAGGAATAATGTTAAAAATCATCAAATAGATTTAATCACTATTTTTTACTGATGAGTGAAGTTCACTAGTCCCTTTTTACCCGTTGTTTTTTATTATTATTAAGAAAATGGTGCTGCGCACACAAAAATTTTAGCATTTCCAAACGCTGATGAGAAAAATCAATGGCAAAAGGAAGCAGTCTCTATTGTGAATAAACGGAATGGTTCCTAAATTGACACAAATCAACGATTATCAATGATTTATTTAAAATGCTTATGCTTCCCGTGTTACGATTTCTGTCAGATTTAAATAATCTTACGGAACTTTTGGCTTTTTTAGACACTTCCTGAAACATTAAAAAAAATTAGCCGAGATCGATGCACCGTAAGACAGCAACAACTGAAGCAATTTAGACAACAACAATTTCATACTCCGCAGAAGTAAGCATAATCTGAGATGCTTAAAAAAAATCAACGATTGACTGCTGGATCAATTCATAAACATCCGTTAGCGTATACGACTTTGCTTGCATAAATTGCATGCCTCAGCTCAAGTACAAATTTTCAGATGAGTTAAATTAATTAAAGTAATATGGCACAGCTGACGTGAATTGATATGCATGGCAGCATTTTTTCGCTTTATTTTTCGCGAAAAGCTTCACACACAAAAAAAAATTTGGAACCGAAGGTGTCCTACCTTTTGAATAATGCCTTCTTTCAAGCAATTAAAATCACGAGTAAACAAAAACTCAAGTCTTATTTCCCAATCACATGAAATATCGATGCCAACAGGAAACATACAAGGTATCTCGAACTGCTCAATTGGGGACGAATTCCAAAATATTGTCTGTTTCCGACTTGCTTCAAAAAAGCTCAAATTTTCTGTGCTCACCCGCCGTAAACATAGAATATCACCGATACTCGGAGATTGTTGCAGATTCCGTCTATTAATAAGTAGATCTTAGCAACGATCAGATTCAAATATTAAAGCCCTTCTTCGATGATAATCTCCAAGTTCATCAGCCCATAAATATCAGTCCAACACTCAAAACTAAATGTAGGCGTCTCAAGTTATTGAAGCTACGAAGCATACCGATCTCTTTGTTACCTCTCAGAAAGAAAATTATGTAAAAATTTGATCAATCCTAATATGACGCCCGACTCGGATATAATCATATATGATCATAGTTTATTGTTAATGGTTTTTTATATATCTGTGCGAATGATGATGAAGCAGTCAATCGTTGATTCTTTTTCTCGCAGCTCAGTTAACGTTTACTTCTTCGAAGTATGAAATTGTTGCTGTTAATGCTGTCTAACTTGGTTCAAGTAAGGCCCGTCGATCTCAGCTAAATTATTTTCGATGCTCATTCCATTCGTGGATCAGTAGAATCTTCGCAACGATCAGATTCAAATAAAAAAGCCATTCTCAATGAGAATCTCCTAGTTCATCAGCCCAATACTCAAAACTAAATTCAGCCTCTCAAGCTATTGAAATACCCCGAAATTAACATGCCGATCGATTTATTCCCTTGCGGACAAAAAAAATACATTCCCAATATGATATCCAAACATATATAATTAAAATTATTTCATGGCTTTTTATATCTGTTCGAATTATCGAACACGACCACGGGTCAACCCCCCCAAAATACTAGGGTCACGAACGTGTCCTCTTTGATCTCCCCAATCGAATCTCCTGCGTACAGTATATTGTCAAAATTCGAACGGTCCTCGGTCGGCACCTCGCTCTTTTTGGCGCGCTGCGGCCAAAACGTACAGAATTGCCCCTCCGCCCACTCGTTCGTAGTCGTGTAGGGTTATGCAAAAATTCGCTGTGAACTACGAAGAAAAAATAACCAAGAAGGGGAAATAAAGGAAGAAGGTTGAAAAAAAGGCGAGAGAGCGAGGGAGAGAGAGAGAGATTAGAAAGCGAAAGGCGATAGCGCAGAAGGTTGGTGAGCATCAGCCAGCCGACGACGACGACGAGGCCGGGCCCGGGTATGGCGAAGCACCAAGCATCGCTCCACCCCGGGGGCGAGTAAAAGAAGCGGCTCTGTATGTGGGTGGAGCGATCCGCGCGGCGCCCAAGTGCTGCTTGCTTGCTTGCTTGCTTGCCATCATAACCGACCCGCGAGCGCGTTCTTACAAGACTCGCGTCGTGTAAGAGGGCAGTCGTAAGACCAAGAAGAAGAAGTAGACGAAGAAGAAGAAGAGTATAAGGAAGGAAGGCAGGCTGCTGGTGCTGTGTGAGGGGGCCGGGGAGGCGATTCTGCACGTCTTGCTCTTTTGCCGCGTCTTCTTATTCCTTCCCTTCATCCCGGCTCGCGTTGTTGAAAATGCCGGCGTGTCTCGCGGGAAAAGTGCAGTCGCTGAAGAATTAACGCCGCATTCGGGTGTCCTTCCCGCCGCAGCACATCGCTTCCGCTTCCCCCCACTTTTTTTTTCCTTGCTCGCTGGCTTGCGTACCTGCTGCTGCAAGCATCGGCACCCACACGAGTTTTATTCTCCTGAGCCAGTGACAAATAACGACGACACCGCCTGTCCCCCCGCCCGAGACGCGATGCTGATGATGATGATGACGACGACGTCGACGTCGAAGCTGCTCGTGTGGTGCCTGCTCGTCGCGGCCGCCGCCACGGGCGCGAACCAGCGCCGCCACAAAAACAACCACAACAAGCTGCGCTCCGGCAAACACCACCACGCCACGGCGTTCACGTCGGGCTCGCAGCAGGCCCACGACAGATCCTCATTCACGTCCATAGTGCCGGAAGAAGAGCCGTCGCTGGCGTCCGCACCCGGCGACCGCGTCGTGTTCAGCGGCGGCCATGTGGACTTTGACCAGCCGCCACCGCCGCCGGATCCGCCGACGACGACGACGACGACGACGAACAACTCAGCGGGTAAATCCGGCAAGGGCCGTGCGGCGCAGGCGTATATCAAGTGGCAGAAGCCGACGGCGGCGCCGGTGGCGGCCAATTGTTCCTCGTGTGCGAGCCACGAGCAGCTGGTGCGGGTCCGGCTGGGCATGATCAAGCAGAGGATCCTGTCGCGACTTGGGTACGTGAGATCCCTGCCGGATGCGTCGTATCGGGACATCCCCAAGAACTCGCCGCTGCAGAAGCTCATCGAGGACTTCTCCATGCAGTCGGACTCGCCGGCGATGGGGCTGCGACCCGGGGACGCCAACGCGCATTACGACGACGGCGAGGGCGACGCTCAGATCCAGAGCATGTACGTCGTGGCGAGAACACGTGAGTTCCTTCTCTCTTTTTTTTTTAGATTCCGAATCACGAACACTTGCATCCATCGTAATTTAAAAAAAAATATATTTATAACTATTACGGGAATATGCGGTTTGAGAGAGAGAGAGAAAAATACATGTGGATGCGTATATAATCTGTATACGGTTGAATCTCGTTATAACGAATAATCGATTAATACAAAGTCGTTTTTAGGCTTCTTTTTAATATAGCCATGATGGTGAATCAATTACCATATAACGACTTTTTTTTTCTTTAAAACGCTCTCTATAAAACTATATAAAACTATTTCTCTGGTCTCAATGTATAACGAGATTTTACTGTATGTGCACTTGCCGATCGCAAATACGCTAGCTTCCAGGTTGCTCTTTTTTCTGATCAACACTGTTTTCAACTTGATAAAGAATCGAGTCTAACATTTGATTCCGCAACTTCTGCGAATATATGTGAGTTTTCGTTTTTTTAAATATATTTTGGTTCCAATTTAGAAACGCATACCGCATCAACAAAAATTTTACTCTCAGTTTTCTTGTTGAAGCTTACAAATTGAAAGACGGGAAAAGAATATTCAGGATGCGTCTGGTATACCTAAATGTCTCCTGTGGTTCGCGAATACGGTAGCTTGAATAATCTTATCTTTTTAGTGATCAACACTGTCTTCAACTTGAGAATCGAGTCTAAATTTGCATTTCGTTAATTTTTCAAGAGATGTCAATTTTCGGTTTTTCTGTTTCTTCTCCATGGGTTCCAACATGAATATGAATGCAGAATTTACAAGGATATCAATCCCATTTTTATTCTTCAAGTTTACAACTTGAATGACGGGACTAGAATTTTCAGAATGCGTACAATATTTTTCTTGTCATCCTCGGTTCGCAGATATTTCGCATGCTTTAAAAAAAATCTACCGTTAATTTTCAAATTGATTCTAGGAGTGTATTTTGAAAATTCCGCGAATCGATCGAAAAATGTTAGTAGTCTTTTTTATTGCTCGTCATTGATTCCAATTTGGCGACACGTACCGTATTTACAAAAATATAATTCTAACTTTTTTCTCTCTGAAACGTGGGTTTAAAAAATTATCTGGATGAGTCTTTTATTTGATGGTGCCTGAGAGTGACGATATGATAGATTTTGTACAACCCACGGATAGGATTGCTTATCAATATGCTCTCTAAATTTAAAATAGGGTCTGAAATTGTACAGTATTCCGTGAATTGTGCGAGTCGTCTCACGAAAATGCGTATCAAAGGTTTATTTTCTCTTCGTTCCTTTTGAGTTCGGAACTAAATATAAGGTTTGAAAACAAGTAAAACCCACTGGAGAATACTATTGAACAAATAATGCACATCGTAACGGTAAAAATGTAAGTTGCAGGTTTTTTGTGGGCATCCATTGCTGGTTCAAATTTAACAGGAATTGCCTTGTATTCACCTGAATGCGACACGCTCTTGATTTAAAATAGATCGCGTGTCATTGTCGATTACGTCGGATACTTTATGGCAATCAAGTTTTGCACGTAAAATGGTTATTGCTTCTGAGAAGCGCAAAATCTTCAGACGGAAAATGGAGTCTTCCGTTCCATAACATGAATCCTGTCGGTCGTTCCAAGAAAGCCTGAGCTGCCGATTTATTTTCTTTCCATTGGTTTAAATTTAGGAAGAAGTAATATGCATTCGGAGAAACAACACACAAATTTTCTTCAAAATGGATCTGAAAATCAGTGTGTCTCATAGTCGATTGCTTCTGAAAAACACCCTTATTTGAATTGAAATTTACGTAAAAAGCACATTACGCGAATCAGATGCGTCGCTTGAAGAAGAACATGAGTTGCTGATAGTTTCCGTCTTTTGGCTCAAATTTAGCATGAAGTGCCGTGTTTGCTTCAATGTAAAGCGCACTTTTTAATCCAATTGCAGAAAACATGCATTGCTAATAGTTTCCGCCCTTTGGCTCAAATTTAGCATGAAGTGACATGTTTGCTTCAATGTAAAGCGCATTTTTTAATCCGATTGCAGAAAAACAGATTGTGTCTGATTGTAGACATCGTCTGATTTCTTATAGTGTCATAAATTTGACCGAAATGGGGTTTGGGGGTAAAGTGCATAGTTGATACTTTCGAACGCAAGCGTAATACTGCTGGAAATTGAGTCTGACGTTCTCGATGAAAATTGAGTCTGGAACACAAATTTGTGCTCATGTCTAGTTGCGGAAATCGTAAGGTTTCGGTTTATTTGTACTTGAAAAGGCAATATTCGAGAAATATCACTTGTCTGTTCTTAAAATTTACTTTCAAAGGTGGGAGGTTTTGAATTATATTGAGTCTCAAAATTGAAGGCAACTGAGGAGCACAGTTGAAATGCATGATTCTTCTGACCAACGCAATTCTTGATTTAAAATTATATTCAAGCTTTCATTGCAGGAATTTTTCAACTATTCACATGTTAAAGGTTAAAGTATTGAAATGGATATGACCTCTGACTACATGCTAGAGATCGGGATCATACCATAATACGAACATAATGAAGCTTTCTCATAATCTCCGGAGTGACCGATTTCTCATGAGTTCGAACTTGGAAATATTTTTCTCATTCGTGAAAAGCTACAGTTTCGATTCACGAAAATAGAGGCGTCTTATATTTTATTAAATATGACATAGAAAGCTGCTTTATGCCGGGAATCATATTTACCCTGTTTCCTCGAATGCGAGACGCTCTCGATTCGAGCATTTTTAGTTTTCGTGATTCAAGAAAGAATGAAATTCGGCTTGAAAATGTTAGACCTACTTTTCTGAATTGATTTTTCTCAAAAAACCGTGGAATTCTTCCATTTGACTCTTTAGTATAAAAGCCACATGCAATGTTCTGGTCTAACCTATAAGAAAAAATGCGGCCGATTGCTCGCTGAATACCATATTTTGCAGATCCATTACCGTACTTACGCAAATTCATTACTTGAATTGCGTGATGAAACCGATCGCATGCGAGTTTGTGACTCATTCCAAACTTCGGAAGAATTCGAATGCTGTGTGATCGCATCGACAATAGAATATATTTTCGATTTTTTGCAATACAATATATAGACGATCTGATTTTAATCAAAAGAACTCACGACGAGCAAATAATTAATAAGTACATTTGAAAAAAGAAAGCAGATTTCATTCAATTGTGTTTTTTTCAATGCTGCATTTGCATACAGTAATATTTCTTGCGAGCGTAATTTCATTGGTAAGAAACTTTCAGTACAGTCCGTTGATTTGAATTTCATTATCGATATGTGGTTAAATTGAGTAGAAATTTCCACCAAAAATTGCAAGCTTGTGCAAAACTTTTTTTGGCACGTACATTTCGGGAAAGAATGACACATTGTTTTAGTTTACGTGACTGAAAAATTAAACTTCGTCGTAGAATTAATTTCGTTTTGCACATGCGTAGATGAAAAATGCCAGAGGGATAAGTCTTCAACGATTTCTTTCGTTCCTACAGAATATTTTAGAAGCTTCAACCACGTCGGAAGTAAAAACAGGAAAGACTGCAAAATCAGCTGATTATTCAACTGGTTCGGTTGTTGTATACAATGCATAAAAAATCATATTTTAGCAATGTAGAATTATAAATCTGCGTGATTATTTCTAAAAACTTTCCGAACATTGTCTCAGCTAGGTCAAAACGGATTCCTCCTGAGTGCCTTTATGCGAAGGTCAAAGCTTCTAAATGATCCAAAGGTTAAGCTCTTCTGTTCGCCATGTTTCTTTATCTTTTATCCAGATAAGCTACTTTTCTTAGGCCTCTGACAGCACCAAAAAAAGAAGTGCCTGCAAAAATACGTCAGACTGTGTCTAACATATGCTGGATAAATCGGTATGCAGTTGAATTATTTCGTTGGAGTATAATTTCACTTCTGCATGAAACATTTTGGATGCCGACGATATATTTGTTGAACTTTCGGGTTTCCTCCTAAACATGGTATAATTCAATAATTTGAATGTTTTTCTATAAATGACTGTTGAAGTGGGAATATTTGGGCTCATAATGCGTTACGGAGGAATCCAAAACATATGACGCGCGTTTCAGAAAAAAAAAACGGTTAGGCCGATCCTCTCTTCGCCTAAATTTTTGGGAAAATATCTTGATTTTCAATTGTCGAAATTTCCATATAATTCAAAGTTGAAAATCTGCGATTTTTCTCCGACGTGAGGCAGTCGTTCATTCCGAGGAAAAGGCGATTTAGGAATGAATGGGTGAGAAATAAGCTCCTTCGATGAATCTCTCACCATTTCTGGAGAACAGTAAATTTATTTCCGGAACACTTGCTGTATATAGTAGTTCCGATTTTTAAGATACTTTTCGCGTACGATAAAAACACAAAACTGGCGAATGTAAGTCGTTCACGTAAAGCGTTGGATGCTCGAAAAGGATTTGCTCAATAAACTTTTAAAATAATAGTTGCAGTTCACCCCATATGGTTGGCGAAATTGGTTCAGGTCTGTTACTTGCGAGAAAAAGTACCAAGCATTTTTTCCATTCAGGTTTAGCACTCGAATCAAGGCGTCTCTTCTACAGTCGGGCGCCCCCAGGATCGCCCACTACATACACCTGTCAGTCTCCCTCCATTCATTCCCTGACGAGGAAAAAGCAACACTTTCTGAAATCCGAAAGGCATCGTACTTCAAGCCTCCGCTTTTTCGCAATGAGAACCAGGCCACGCGCGAAAATCTGCAACCGGTGTTGCGTGGGGGGATGAGGAAAAGTCAGGGCTTCTATATATTCTTTATATGTACTCTACGCGACGTCAGGGGGGGATTTATTCTACAAATCGCACCTCGCCCACGACCCCGGGGTTTAAAAGGAGTACTGGTCCCGCCGGATTAGCAGTACTCGGTGCCTAACTATTGCAGCATAAGCCGGCTTCGCTTCGCGTTAGCAAAAAGGGGGGTACGTGTGGATGAGAATGAAGGCTTTTCCCCCTGATGCCCAGGTTTAATCTTAGCCTTGTTCCGGCGTTTATGCAGAGCTCGGCTTATTACGAGTGCACCCCCCTGGCAATTGCGTATTTTATCTTTTGCTGGAATATAGCGAAAGGGGGAGGGGATAAGGGAAATTTATGCCGGAGGAAATCAGGTCATGTCTACGGTTTTCTTCGTGTATTTCATTCAACTTTGGCCAGTCTGCTGCATGTATAGCCGGGTATCCGTAAACTGTTCGCCACACTCCCCTATATTCTCTAAACGCATCAAGTATGGCATGAATAATGAAATCTGTGCGGGTAACGCACATGTTTTCCCCAATATTCCTTCTTCTAATTTATTGAATAGTTTTTTTTTCAACTTGAGTTGAACAGCAGCAAGCTTTATTTTCCATTGTTCAGCATTCACAAGGTTTGAGCAACATTCTTTCATCCAAACCCCTCCCCCCCTCCCTACCCACATTCATCCAAACACATTCCATCACATCATAATTGGAAAAAAGAGAAATGTATATGGATATTAAAGAAAAGAAAACACATCCCAAAATGTACATCCCAATTGCACAAATCATGTAAATACCGTATTTACTTGAGTACCACACGCCCTTAAGTAAGGCGCGCACAGGGGTTTTTCAGTTGGAAATTTTTCTAAAATCTTATCCCCAAGTAAGACGCGCACCCCAATTTTTAGTGAAAGACCTTGGTGTTTTAAAACTTTTTTTATTTTAACTGAAATCTGTACTTAACTTGTTTTTCGACTAGTTAAAAGTTGACAAGGTCATGTTTTTTCAAAAGAACAATGTAAAAAAGGTTTAAAGAGGTCTATAATTAAGCATAATGCACACATAACTTCCTAAAACTTCTTGGAAAATTTTTACCTGCTTATGATGCGCCCACCTTTTTTTCTTATGAAATTTGAGAAAAAAGGTGTGCATGGTACTTGAGTAAATATGGTACACACACAATCTTCCAATCCCTGATAACAAAAATAAAATATCAGTAATAAGAATTGCTGCATAAGGCCATTACTGGACACAAATTAAAGCATGAGCACCTGCCTGCTCCAAAATCAGGTTTAGTTGATTGAACCATTTGGAGAAAATTTTTCATGAGAAATCATGTAAAGTTAACAGTTTATCTTGGTCTGCTAAGCTTTCGGAAAGAGCCTTTTTGTTGAGTTACAAGAGTACCAAATCTTTCTTGAGCTCATTTCTATAGCTGTGGCATGCTTGGCACAAGAAAACAAGGTGCTCTCGAGATGCAATAACCAAGTTGGTTTTTTCATGGCAGGAGAATATTTGCATATTGTCACGTGCCACTGGGTGTAATAAGCAATTTTATGCGCGTCTGCCTCAAAATAATTTTCCTGAACAAGGCGCAATAATTCATTTGGGTTTTCAACGTACTGTATTTTTTTAAAATTTAATGTAGGGAATTCCGATAGATTATGCATAAATATCAAATTCCACTGAATTTAACCCTTGGATGGCAGAGGGTTCTTTCCCATTGCGGGATGGAGGTAAATTATTTTTGCATCCTCCCACATTTTCAGTTTTTTGAAGGTCAGGAAAACCCTTCCAGGGTGGCTGAGTCAAAGTTGGGTTTAATCCAAGAAAAGCCTGTTGCTTAACTGAGCTTTTTTCCTGCAAAATTTTTCTGTGCTGAGGGAAAAAAACATCCAGATTTTTCTGGACTTGGCTATTAACCTCCTGTTGTCATTTTTTTTCTTACCCTCTCCGAGATGCAAAAAATTTTTGCAAAAATAGTCTGACTTTGCTGCTCAAGGGTTAAGACGCATCCACTTTAATTTTGTGTGCCTCAATGTATATACATTTTCCACCTGAACAACGCACTTTCTATTTAGCTTGATATTTTGAAACATTTTGAAAATTTGTGTTGTTGGACAGAAAATGTTTTCTGAGAATTCGTTGGATTGAATTGTATCCCCATTTTTTCAAGATTGCCTTGTTCCAAAAAAAATTGCGCCCCTTGGAGGCAAATCTATAAAATGGCCTCAATTACCAGTTAGTTCTCACCTAAGTTTGATCCAATTTTACAAAAAAGGTTTGATGCAAGAAGATAAACAAATATTTTTTGCTTTATTTGTGTGGAAAAAAATCCAAATGTCTAAAACATTTGAACTTGATAAATGGAGCTAGAAATTATATCACTCAAAAAGCGTCATCCAACATCTTTGTACAATATAATGCAAAAATGGCTTGCATAATTTATTCTGAGTTATTATGGACTATAGAGGGGAATCTATGCACATATAAATATGTGTGTGGACGCTGTCCGAATGCTGTAATTCTTCAAGAGATTCATGCGTTGTTGAAATGAGTGGAAACTGGAAATGGGTTTTTTCCCAATCGATCGAAATTTAATTATCTTGACACAAATGGAAAAAATTACGACGAATGAGCTGTTGTTAATCAATATGCAGTGACTTGAACAGGAATAATCTAGCCGTAAATTTGAAGCACAATCAAGTCTCTCCAAGATGCACTGAGTCTCTTCAGATGGCGTCAATTAAACGATGTTCATTTGCATTACTTACGGTATCAAGGATACTTTGTATATGATGGCACTCTAATCGAAGATAGTTCAGAAAGTATTTATTTGAGGTTCGGTGAACCTGAGATACTGGATAGCTCTGGAAAATACTGACCTTCGAAGCTTGATGCTTTTATAAAGTGAAAAAGGGAAGGCATACGATTTATAAATCTTCCATCTGTCGGATCTGTTTCCGAGGCCTCGTCAGCTGTAAATAGCAATAAAAGCTAGATTTTCTTGGGAAAGTGGATTGAAGGAGGGGTTCAATCTTAACTATACCGTTACTCGAATAGAATCTATGAATAGTTCAGTACTCCCCAACCGGATCTATTTCTATTCGGATGACTGAGACCCTAATTCAAGAAAAAAAAGGTCATAGACCAGCTTAAAATAGGGCAAAAATAGATGTAAGGATAACTTAAAATTGGTTGTGCGTTTACGGTACGTGTCTCACTCAAAATACCCAAGGGAAAATAATACCAAGAGGTTGTTTCATATTCTGATCTTCTGACGGATTGACTTGAAAATTGTTGGTAGATGCCCTTACACACACTTATACACACAATATTCTCAACGAACCGTCTTCAGAAGTTCGTTTTTCATCAATCGATGAAAAAATGTTGGGCTTCCTATATAGATTTTCCGTCAAAAAACTAAAAAGTTTACTGCGTTTCATAATTTCGAGCTAGCTCAAAAATTTATCTTGCGCATTGGTCAGATAGAATGTTGTTTCCACAGATGTTTTTAAAGGAAGCTGTCATTTATAATACAGTATGCACCTCTAAAAAAAAAAAACGAGTCCAGCGCTCGTGTTGTGTAACATGGATAGGGTATTTTGACACATCCTTGAATATCTGGCGGCAATTTCCATGTTATCTGGCTATTTAATCCATATTCAGTGGCGTCCTCGCCGCCAGCGACAATCAGTCTTAGACGCCTGGCACCGCAGAACGTCGTCGTGGTATGCAGGCATTTGGCGCCATTTAGATGAAGATACAGCCCTTGGCACCTATTTAGGTACTTGTTGCGCGTCGCCAACAGCAAAATCAGTCCCAAGCCCATCAGCGGCCTTCTCCTTACTATACCTTGATTGTGTATTCGATATTTAAAGAAAATTTCTTTTCACACTGACTTTGTTTAGGGTAGTAATATTCTCGATTGGACATTTTAATATTTTGTGACCCCCGTCTTGTGGACCTTCCAGCAATAAATGCAATGCTCCTGAATGGGCGTGTAATAGATTGAGTTTTGACCCTCGTACAGCATAAATTTTAACGAAGGTTTAGCTGTATAATGTTTAGCTACGAGTCATTCCGCAAAAGAAGGTTGACAAAAAGGTTCTTTCTACTGTATGCAGTATTTGAAAGCTTTATAAAATCAACTACAGTATAAAGGCGATTGAAGCGGCAGAAAAAGCTTTTTTCATCACGATCCGCTGAGTTCAACTTGAACGAGGCAACTATATTTGTGCGAAAATTATTATTTTTTCAAAGTGAAACAAATTAATTTCACGCGTCATTCTGCGAAGAATGAAGGAATGCTATATTGACGATTGATTACTTTAACGATCATGACGACAAAAAGTTTCGTTCTTGTGCAGATTGGAAAATGACCTACGTTTTTTTCAAGTCCAGGCCCCGTCTGAATTCTTTTCAGAAACAACGCATTAAATACTGTACTTCTGTAACTCGAAGGCCTTTCCTCTCAACCTCCCTAACTCGAATTTTCGGGGGCCATTTAGCTATTATGTTGACACCCGAAAGAGAAAAGCAAGTAAGTAAGTAACTTGATATGTTCTGAAAGGAAATGAAGGACTAATCAGGCAAATGAATCCTTAACTCGAAGTTCAGCATCCTGTCAAGTCATTTAAGAAGCAATGTAAGGCCCAGAATATCACCATTTACAATTTCCTACAATTCTTCTATTCTTCTTCCACAGCAAAAATGCTTGTTACCCTAACTTGAAATCTCCATCAGTCAAAAAAATTTTTGCTGGTCCCTTGAAATTCGACATAAAGAGATCTGACTGTATTTTGAAACTGTTCACTGTATTCAGTGGAATTTGGTTTTGGAATTTGAAAAATTCCTCCAGCTAATGTGTCAGCAACCATCTCAACTTACCATATCGAACAATAAGTTCCTTCCAAATTTTGAAAGCAAGTATCGTTTGAATAAGTCCCCCAACAACACTTGGGCGGTTAAAGGTGAGGGTCTAAATCGTTTTCCTGGTTCGTTAAAAAGCAGATTTTATTACGATCAAGACGAGCATCAGAACTTTTTTCTTCTTCTAGTACCGATTCGAATGCATTAGTGTATAAATCCCTTTGTTGTAACTCTTCTAAGTGTGTAACAGCGGTGGATAAGATTTTAAATAATTATAGTAGATTATAAAATTAATCTAAAAAACCATGTTTTTCAAGTAAGACTAAAAAGCACAAATCTAAAAAACCACATTTTCAAAAAGCAAAAAATAACCTTAAACATGGTGCGCATCTATTTCATTTGTATTTCACTTCTTCCCAACATGAAGTGAGCAAAATTTGAGTTGCAAAATTTGATCTGGACAAACAAACAGACAAGAAAGGGAGTTAATAAATAAAAACATGTTAAAATGGGTGGACGCCAGGACCAGTTCATAACTTCACCAGAGCTCAAATTAAGGGATTCAGGCATGGAGTTTCCAGTGATCATCCCTTCATCCAGCACCCTGCCCTCAAACCAGTTTGAACTTTCATCCCTTGTTTTTTGGGGACATGAAAAATTTATTTTCCTATATTTTTCTAAGACATGGAATCTTAGAAAAATTTGCAGAAAAAGAAGAAACATATCAAACCTGAATCAACCTAACCAAAATTAACATAAACTAACCTATCAACATAGATTAACTTAAATGACCCTAAATTAACCTATACTAACCTAACCTAAGTGAACCTAACCAAACATCTGACCCAACTTCTAATTGAACTTCTAACCCAACACCTAACCTAAATTAACACTCTTTAAACAATTTTTCGTTCAAAAAAATCATTGAAATTGTTTGATTTCCTCATTTTAACATGATTGATCCAGGCAGTGGATGTCCCCGAAAAGCAAGGAATGAAAGGTCGTTGGGTGCTTTGAGAGCGCATGCGGGTAGAACTGGATTTCGTCTTTGGGTACTCGTGCATATTCCCAAATTAACCCAACTGAACCGGCTTCGTTATTGGGTTGCCGGATCAGGATGGATTAGGAAGCAATAAGTACAGTGGTAGTGAAATGCACTCTCGACATAGCGGTGTTGTGTGCTCACTTGTTGACGGGTCCGCTTGGCCTGTCACCAGTGGAACTAATCGCGGTGGGATCGCTTCCTTGTCAAAGTGACCCAGTAGAGTTGCTTCGGAAGTTGGAACCATGCCTTGCTAGATTTTTTTTTTTTAATTTTTTTTGAAGTTCCAGACGTCGTGTTTTAACCACGAGCTGTCCTTCCCGGCGACCTCGCATCCTGTGCAGGCTGGAAAACGGCAATTTGCGGTTCCTTTGTCACATTTTATCAATCCAGTGCACCTTTTAACCTAAGCAGCATATCCTGGTCATCTTCGGATAAAATTGGAGTTTATCATTCTTGTTTACCCGGCCTATCGAGGGAATCAAATTCAGTTATGACCCCATCATTCAAAACAAACGATCGGATGATAATAGGGCTTCCTTTTCATGAACTTTATTTTTTTTCTAGTTGACTACGGTTGCGGTGAAAATATTCAAATGAGGCTAAATTTGCATGTTCACTCGGTACCTGGCGCTACTTCAATTTCACATCAATTGGTTCATATACTTTTTTCTTGATTTAATGCACCAATTATTGGCAAATAATTTGTATTACACATACGGCGTTTGTACATTGGCAATTCGAACCCCTTGCGGATTCTACGTATTGTATTACGTGTAGAAATAATCCCTGATATTAAAAAGTATCAGCGTAATGATGCCATAATGCTCATGCTTGAACATTTGCGAGGTTTTTCAGGGTTACAGTAGGTTATACTGGCTTTCAATCATGCAAATAAATTTTTTCAATCTTTCTATCGCTAAAATTGTTCAAATTCTAATAAAAAGTAGGAAATCTGAATGCAAACAAATAGTTCAAACCTTGATACATGCTTAATCAAAAGGAATTTCGTGCAAGTTTGAAGTCATCCAACATTTTCCGAAAAATATTCTCAAGACATATGTGTGTAATTAAAATATCTGATCATATGACTGCAATGTACGCTTTTTCGTGCTTGTTTCCGAGTTACTGGCACTGGTCAGCCTTTCCATCGTACAATTTTCATCATCAAGCTTTACAAAAGTATCATTAAACATTGCAGATGTTTGGTCTTAACCCGAACACAAATATGGTGAGACAAAAATCTATCACATAATCATGGATTAAACTTGGGGATAGTCTGCTTGATGTTTCAAACCAGGACTGCGGGTCTAAACGAAATAAAAATCCTACAGTGATTATGCCTTATTTTAAAATCCAAAAATAAGCAGGAATTTTCAAACTTATCAAATGAGGGCATATGAAATGCCGGGGAATTTGGGCGTTAAACCGCCTTCACTTTTGATGTCTCGCCGGACTTGAAACCTGCGAAATAACAAAATATTACACCTTGTCTTTTCATATTTTCAGTCTTGCTCGAAAGCTAGCTAATTGGCGAGACTTACAAATACCAAGAAGTCTGCAATTAATTTGAATATTGTTCATAGTCTAATGGGGAATATTTTCGCATCATTAGCTAATTGGATTCACGTGTCTTTGACACTGGCGAAGGCCCGTAATTTTCGTTCGATCCGAGGAAAGAATTCAAGCTAGTGACCCAAAAATTTCAAGACATGCCTGAACTCGTCAGTTCGAAGATCCTGATAAGAAATACCTTCCACGCACCACACACGCAGCTATATTATTCTGGTGGTCGTCCCCGCGTGCAGAAATCAAAATGATCAGCGGGAAGAAAATGAAGGGGGAATGCCTTTAAAGTTTCGGAAGACCAACGGGTGGATCGATAAAATCCAGGGAAATGACCCTGCAGGTGCGGTCGTTCTAACGTCGTCAGTCCCTTATGCTCGGGGGTTTCTCGAAAGTCTATCAAAAAAATAACTCACGAATCGTCCTTGACGGGCTGAGACGAAGAAAAAAAAAACTAGAGATTGATTTTGCATGAGAAATGCATATTGTATACAATGGAAGAGAAATTCGTTGGTCTTGTTTCTGAGGATAAAAATCAAGTTCGAGAAAAATACAGAAATGCTTAGAAGGTTGATATTTTTGTAAAATCTGGGACATCCACGAAAAAAAACATTCAAAATTGTCATTGCTATCCTATTTTTGTCAATGATTCTTGAATCGAATTGGAGTTTTCCCTTGAAATCTGCCACAAATGTCCATTTTGAATCGTATTGTTCAATCACATCTTAATAACAGCCCATAAACATGTTAATTAAGTAAGTGATACAAAACTCACTTGTACAGTATCAATGGTGCATATCAAATGAGTATCAATGTATCATGAGAGGCTTCATTTTTGAGCATATATTTCAATTAATCCTTGCTTTTGTCCGCAGTGCCAAAATACTTTCACAAAATCTTCATACAATATATTTTTCCCGTGCAGTTTTTTCCTCCATCTTAAAAGGGAGTGGGGGGGGGGGGGGGAGTTCATGGATCGAAAAATAAGTTTTTATGAATGGTACTATAGATTCCTTTTTTTTTGGTTGAGGCAAACTGAAGTAAGTAGCCTAATTATATTTTCAGAAACTGTTTGAAACTTTCGATGAGTCCCATGCATGCATACCTCGGGAAGGTGGATCTAGAATTTCCATCCCTTCAACCCCATCGCTGCTTATCTGCTCTGCGGCCCGAGGTCATTCGCGTGTGATCAAAAAACCGGCAAAATTCGCGTGCTCTGAAAGGGAATCAGCGATAAAAGTCAATTGTCCGGGTTAGGCTCAACTCCGGGCGTTGGTTGCTAAGCCCGCTTCCTGTCGACCCTGGAGAAAGACGCCGCAGTTCACAGCTGATCATAACAGCTGATTCTCCGGCCTTGCTTTCCGTCTCCGTTGGGATAATTCTTCTTCGGATATTATGCAAGAATTTTCCTTGTGCCTTTTGAGGTACGATGATCTACTTCTTATTTTCACCTGGCTTCGGTTTTCCGATGAAAAAAATTGCGGTTGCGAATCATACACGAAAACATTTTGCAAAAAGTTCATCAACAACTTGTATTCTTCTTGGTGGATATTTTGGGGTGTATTTCTCAATTTTCCCCCGTTGGACTGCAGCAGAGAAGGAAAGTATTCTATTTACTGTAGATATAGACTACATACAGTATATTTGCTTCCATCAATACATGGCGAATTAAAATTTACTGCTTCTAAAAGTGCCCATTTTCCTAAAAATGAAGAGTTATTTTCAAATTAGGTTCGAAAACATACTAGCGCAGATAAAATTGAACTTTTCACAATTTCAGACCTGCATTGTGATAATATTGTTTCATGTTTTAAATTGCTGCTGTTTTCTATTCCATAGCACTCCTCATGATTTCAATTAAGATAAAATTAAATTGAATCAGAGAAAAGCGCGTATCATGTTGTCAAAGTCTGAGATTACTTTTTTGCCGTTTGAAGTGAAATTGATTTATTCCACGAGGAAAATCACTCACTTGATTATCGCTTATGCGGAAAAAGGAATCTGAGATCAGCGAGTACAGTACAGTAAATTAAAGTCTCGTACCTTAGAAATCCTGTGGCAGAAAAAAATAAAAACCTCCGCGGAGTTCTCAGGTAGAACATTCGCGCGTAAATCTAGTAAAATGTTGAAGCTCGGAGCAGGAAAAATAAAAATCGTTGAGTCATAAAAAGATTGACAGTGCGTTAAAGGGTTCGTTGCCCTTGAAGCACCACCTCTAGAAGAAGCAAACAATTGCGATATCGGTCTCTGCAATGCTTTCAACTAGCAGGCGCAGGGCGTTGCACTCATCGCGAACTGAATCAAAAAGGATATCTCCCCGGTTCAGTCATCGTTAGTCTTTTCGATAAAGCTTCCCTCTACTGCACGAATAAGGCAAAGAATACCTTTCATCCTTTATTTTTCCTAGCATTAATTTCTGGTAAAAAAAAAAAAAAAAAAATGCGGTGGTTGCATCTCTCATTAAGGGGCTTGTTTTTCCGACAGGGGTCCTGCAAGCGCAAAACGAAATAAACCCTTCAATCTGTCGAACACAGCGAGTGAATGATTATGACTTTGTTCAAACAAGCGAATGTCTTCCTCCTTAATTTCTTGCCTGAACAACGCGCTGTATTTCTTAAATATCGCTTCTTTTGTACGTCAGGGGAAAATTTTGAGAATTTTTTTATTATGTTATTATTTATTTAATTTTTTATTATTATTGTAAATATCCTTCGCCTGATTTACAAGACAGTTCGTTTGAAAAGAAGCACTACTAGGACAGAACTACGACTACTGAGTCTTTAAGTTTAGCATGTGTTTCCAGTCGCCCTTACAAAATGCGTACAAAACGGGCCTTTTTATTTAACTTTTGATAGATTTTAGAGATCGTTAGACAATTTATCCAGCAATTAAAATATATTTTCAAGGATGCTCCGGCATAAAGTTACCGAAATTCCTGCACTCCTGCATAAAAGCGAATTCCCATTAAACTAGTTCATCATAATAAAAGCTGCTCGCGTTCATTTTATGCTGACTATTTTCCTTCATCATGAATTTAAGTCTGAGCAGAGTCGATAACAACATGGATGCCAGAAGTTTCCTTGTAACTGCACAATAAAATAATTCAATGCTGCGAGAGGAAATTTGTTGAACGTTCAGAATCAGAAAAAAAAAAACGTTGAATTGTATCTTAAATTTTAGGTAAAATTATAAATAATGAAGAGACTGGGATTTTTGAAAATGAAAACTTGGTCGCTGGAGGAATCATTGTGCTTCAGTATATATTTGCTGATGTGAATTGATGTCTGTGCTGCCATGAACGGAAAAGGTCCCTCTGGTTTAATTGGATCGAACAAAGCGAGATAGTACGCTATACATTTCGGGTACTAGCAGTAACTAAGTGTCATAGGTCTTTGAGAACTCGCTGGATCCGGCATTTTTATTTTTCCAAATTGCCTCGACAACGATCTCGGCTGTCGGAAAAAGCATTTCTCAGCAGTAATTTTTTTTTTTGCCATTGATTTTTGTTTTGCTTTGCTTTTGCTGTGCACGTGACCCGAATATTTTTTGAAGGAGCCAAGCAAGACAAGAGCCAATAAGCTCCGATGGTCACTGCGCTGAGTGACGGAGTTTCACCTAGCAACAAGTTGAAGAGTCTGTGTGGGTCAGTACCAAAGAACCTAATGCAACCTTTATCGCGACTTTAATTGGCTCTTGAGAATATATATTTCGGGGAACAAAGGGTCTCCTACGATTAGGAACCAGCACTGTCGGCATGCGCTTGTAATCTGTACTTTCGAACCCGTTAGAATCCCAATGAAGCCCCCAGGCACCTTCTTTAAATAAATATTTAGTGTGCTGTAAATGTATGTATTTTTTGGTGATCTAAGCGTGAGTACCTTTGCTCACGTTTTTTTCTGAAACGTCTGAAGGAATATCCAATAAAGCTTTTCAACGTTATTCAGAAATGAAGAACTCGACTTTCCGATAGAAGCAATTATTTAGAATGTACAGTACTGTATTTCAGACTGTGTAGCTAAGCTGTAGCACTTGCTCGCTTATTGGTGGCATGTGGGTAATTGATTGTAATTTAATAAGAAAAAATAAAATAAATTGAAACTTTTTACGTTGAGTGTCGCCAAAATGAGTACTTATGAAAAAGTCGATATTTGTGCTGCTATTGTACCTAAAAATGTCGTGCTGCAGTGTTTCAGTTCAGAAAATTTTCATGCAGTATCTTGATATTCCAAGGACTACATTCGATATAAAGACGAATTTGAAGCTTTTCTTGATATACTTCATTTAGCGATAATGGCGCCAATACGTTACGTCCGCCGAATCGTGAATCGAAAAATAAAATCGTGAGCAATCTACGTTACGCGTGATTTTGCTCGAATTAAATGCCGTTTTTCTGTTTAAAAACAAACGCTGGGGCAAATTAAGTGGGTTTTGGTCTCAAGTGAAAAGAACTTCGTCGGTGTTACGAGGTTTTCGTTACAAATTTTTTATAACATGGTCACCATGTCTGTTTTCAATCCTGCATACCCATGGAACACGTCACGGAATAAGCAAAAAAAAAAGACATATCTTTCATAGTTTTCTCAGTTTCGAAAATTTTTATTGCTCCAACTCTTCAACAAGATGAATTGAAACTGATATTCAAAGAAAATCGTTTTCTGGTTCATTATCGAACGCGTTGAGAACGAAAAACGCATTTTCAATCCTGTATGCTTTCGTAACCTATGCCTCGAGGCATATAGAGAAATTACTGGAATGAACCAGACCGTTCACCTGGAATGATTGATCTGCAAAAACGAATAAATCACTGCGAAAATAGAATAAATTGTGTAAATTAATCATCGAGAAATCATAATCCATCTTTCCACGAGTTCGTATCCCTCGCAATAACGGTTATGTTGTAAAAACTACGTGAGGAAATAAGCACCAGAAACGACTTTTCTCCACATAAAAATCCCTCTGCTTCTCAAAATACAGCTTCTTTTCCCAAAAACATTTGCTCGAAAAAAGTGCGAATTCCTAAATTTGGGCTGAAACGGATTTCAATGATTTACTGGACACTGTGCCACGTGTTACAATTATATTTTTAAAAATTAGGACTTGTCCAGGTGAGTGAAATTCAGAAGCAAATTAGATAATCTTTCTCAGCGGTCTACTCTCATACAGAGACGATTATTTCTTTTTATTCTTTTATGACTTAATTTTCCATCGGTCGAAAATTTAGTGTTTTGTGCCTCTGCAAGAAATTCAGGTGAAGACTGAGCTTTCAGTCTCCTGAATACGGTAATTATGCGAGTGTGGGATTAAAATATTAATTACCGTAATTCATCAGAAAATTGTACGCAGAAAATCCTCTCTTCTTGGAGCAGTCAGTTGCCTTTTGGATCTCCGCACATCTCCACAACGTCATTCTCATCCAATAACACCCGACTCGTCCGCCCAGATACGAATATAACCCGCGAACGATTTTAACCCACACAAAACCCTCATTAGTCTCAGGAATAAGGCAAAGGGGTTCCGCGGAACCGCTCCCCCGGTGGGTTGGGTTGCTGCGCGAAACAAGCGCTTCTATATACATGTACAGTATATAGGGATGTGGATTTCGACGTGCTAGAGCTCGTTCGTCGACCTTCTGGGTATCTGCTAACGACCATAGCATTTGCCCCCCTTTTGCAGATCATTCGCCAAGTGGGCGGTTGGTCGGTGATATGACGTCTCCCGGTCGGAATTCTCTTCTGTCGCCAACCGGAACTCCCGTTTTCTTTCTTCTGTTTTTGTTTTGCTTTTTCTTCTTGCTTCCTTTCTCGGTGGGGGTCGAAGGACCGGCTGTTTATCACGCAGCCCGCGGCTCCTCGTCAGCTGCACCCCGAAGCTGGTGTCACAGGGATGCTCTGATTCCCTGGCGAACTGACTCGAAATCCGTAATAAAGGGGTACATTCTCTTTCTACAACGAAACTCAAGGGGCAAGAAAAAAAATGGATGTCAGTGAGAAATCCCTGTAGGGAATCAGTTTTGCATCGAGAGAGAACCCTATATATGGGATCAAATGAAAATTCGCTCTACAGAGAAACTCGTTATATATAAACAAAGTCGTTTTAGAGGGAGTTCGCCTGTAATAAGAAAGAAAAAAACTCCGCTATCTACAAACGCGTAAAATCATCGTTCAATTGTTAATTTCGCAAACTCGACAATTGAAATTAGCTCGAAATGAAGCGTATGCCACGGAAAATATTGATTACCTACCAGTGAAACCTTTCTGCGATAACATTCTACCAGTACTGTACATGTATACAGTGCCACTAATTTTTTCTGGTCCAAGCACGACGAGATTGTGTGGTTAATAAATTACTTTCGTTTTCGAAAAAAAACTGTTAAATTTTCGTGAACTCTCTCATCTTCCTCTCTCCATTGAAAATACATTACATCTTCAAAATGCTTTAGTTCAGTCCTACTACCCAATTATGCTATATTTTGTAACAAAATCTTATTTTGTTTCAGTATCGTTGTAGAACGTTTCGGCATTTACTTCTGCTGTGCTCAATAAATCATTTTTAATGAAAAAAACTCGATTTGAAAGCAGAACTTAGATCCAAGAGAATATACAGTGCTGGAGATTAGAGCTCGAAAAGAATGAATCAGGCAAAAATTCCCACATATGGAAGTCTATATCTTTCAAATATTTGAGGAGTCGAAACATAAAAAAATCATTAAAAAACCATAAATAAAATAACTTGATAAATAACCTAATAGGAAAATATACCAACAATTGTAAAATTTGAATGAGGCCAAGAGGCGTCATCTGTTGGCCAATCTGTCATCTCATTTCAACATTACAGTACTTGGGAGATGAAGAAACATTCTTCATGCACTTCGAATGTTGCTTTAGAGAAGCTGTTTACATGAAATTACTGTGTATAGACCCAGGACAAGTCTGCAAATTTAAGGAAAAAACTCATTGTACAGGTGGTACCTTGCAATTCAATGTCCACAATTTGACATCAAATTTCACATTGTCTCACAATTCAACCACGTGCACAATTTGACCCTAGCCCAGCACCAGAATAGGGTCCAACTGCGGGGCATCACCTGCATTGAGAATACTGATATAAAAGTGAAATCCCTTCACATGAAGCACACCCCATTTTTTATGCGCAATTCAATTGCAAAACGCACTGATAAATGCGTGCTGAAAAATCTGTGCGTTTTTCCTGAAAAACAAAAAACAGTCACCAGATGAATCTTTCACACGTTTGATACTTATTGTCCTGCAACACCGCAAGGATCAGCTGAGCAAACCGTGCAGAGTACAACGGCGAGGATGATGCTCACGTGACGATTGCCTTCTTATTTATCTGAGAAGGTTCTCGGAAACATGCGGATGTTTTTCAGTTTATTTCCTTTATTTTTTGCTGCCTCGTCCTCGGCGACCGCCGGTTCCTAAGACCGGGGTGGGGGGATATTCTGAAAAATTGGGTAGCAACAAGCAGCAATTGTGCAACCCCTCTTCTGAGAAGATCAACAATTGAGGTTCTCTCGACTGCTTCACGCGGGTCCCCGTTTTCTGCGGAAGTGCGGAGTCACTCGGTTTTCTTGAGGATTTTGATCGAATTTTGGTGGCAAATTTTGCACTGATAGGTCTACTGTACAAAGATGATGGTACAGTACTTCATGACTTCAACGTCGTTCCTTAGCATTGCCGATTCGCCCCGGAATATTGCATTTGCATTAAAAAGACGCGGGAAAAAAATTATGTACTTCGCGTCGGACCCGGATTTTTATCAATTCCAAACGAAACTAACCGAACAGCTCACGAAAGTATAGGGAATTGGTGCGGCCTAAGCATTAAAAAAAACAGAAATTGTAATTATTCAATTTTTCATTTACACCTTTCTTTCTTCATCCTCGAAATGAATATATTTGCTCGGATAACAATTTAGCAGTTTATTGACCTGCTCTATTGTACAGTGCATGATTTTAAACTTCGATGTTGTTCTTCCATAAAAAATAAAATTCGTGAACCTTTCTAAAATATATTGGCCCACGATGAAAACTAATGCGACCTACGCGCAAAAATCTCGATTGAAGTTCTCATCGCCGTTTCTAAGCACAATTTTTTTTAGGAAAGAAATTGATGCATTGTCAAATAAATACGTTTTCCGCGTAATACACTTCCCATATGAGATAATCCTTCTTATGTTAACGGAGTGCAAGGTTCTGAACAAAATAAGCGAAAATAATGACAGCATACCTTCAGTTTTTCTTAAAAAAAAAAAGCAGAATTACAGTACTGTACTGCACTCACTTGATCGGAGGTTTCCGGGCGATGCTTCAGGTTCAGGATACCTTCACTTGCGACGTTAATCGAAACTTCGAGAGTATCCTTTCGAAATTAGAAAGAAATGGTGATTTGTAAATTGGTACTAGGTAAACAAGTATCAGATTGTGCCGCAATCTAATTGCGGCGTCAGTCGGCTTCGTTGCCGTGAACAGATCCCGGCGGGACAAGCTGTCACCAACTGACACAATTAACCCCTGCAAAATAAAATTATGCATATCATTTTTTTTAAATATATATGTTGAATATGATCAAGAAATCAAAGTGGATTGAACACTTGTTTCACTTCAACAAACTTCCGGAAAATTGCTTTGAACGCGGCATAATTTGAGCCAAATTCAGCGTTCTTGAAATCACTCATTTTGAATTTGCCTAAATAATAAAATTTAAAATTTCTATCGATTATTCTATCAATGATGGATTTTCATTCATCGTTACCGCGAAAATGGAATGAAAGTTGTAGTGATTCTTCGTCGTGTCGATCTGAATATTTACGAAGTTGAGTTTTTCTGAAAACTTGTGTGACTTCTTTTGATGCTCACATTTTTTTTTTTCAGTGCCCGAGGAAAAGATGAGCGCGTCGACGGAAAATCTCAATGTTCAATACTTCAGTTTTTCGAAGTTGCTCATGAAATATTCCATATCTGATGCTCGACTGTGGATTTACATGAAAGCAGACAGAAGTGCTGAAGAAATATTCGATCATCTCGGTGAGTCTTTTATTATTCCAATATGCAATACCTTTGGAGCTGAGAACTGATACCATTTGTGAAAATAAAAAAAAATAATTGGACGAGGTATATGCTATTGAGTAAACAATTGATTGGCTGAAGACTGTACGGGATGTTCAGGCTTCACACGACGTTTCAATGTTTTAAAATGCATATTATAGATTATGTAAGATGTTCCAGTGACCTTTTTTTAATCCGTAACATTATCTTTTCCATGAACTTCCGTGAAACTTTGCCAAGAAAGTTCGAAGAAGAGTTAAGACTGTTTCGCGGGAAAATTCGCACGGATAGGAAACCCGTGCAGGATTTTATTTGAAGCTATAAAATAATTTTGTTACATAACATGGTCATTTTTATAAATACAAAGACAGTATTTGCTTCGCTTGCAATGAAGGTAATTTAATATTCAGCGAGGCATTAGGTACTGTACTTCACAAAGAAGACGACTTCATCATAATGACTGTTTACCCAAGTAAGACGGGCTTTTCGTGCCATTTCTCTTGGGCAAACGAGCTTCTACTCTCGAATAAACCAAGCAGAGAGGTTCTTCAGTGTTCTGACCATGCTTTTGCAATTTCTAGGTCTTTGAGAAATAGTAAATTAAAACCTGGACAGGGTTGAAATTAAGCAAGTCTCCGAGAATCGGGATAAAAGATGCAGCGGTGCGAAGTTTCAAAAATTTTTGTTTGTTTGAAGAATTGCAATTTAAGCACCTGTCAAACGCAAAACTTTCACTCGCCTTTTTCCTAAAGAAATAAAATGCAAAAAACAACAAAATGACGGAGGTCCACTGGATAATTTTATGCGTATAAGCTCTTCCTTTATCCTAAACTAAGTACAGTATTCAGAAGAAAAAGGACCGTATTCCATGAAGTGAGACGGAATTGTGCGTTGAATAATTCAAAAGTGGTATCTCATTTTGTTGAATATTTTAGGCAAACAAATGCAAAGTAATTGAATTAACGTAGAGATTTAGGGAAAAGACAAGTTCGATTTGGAAGTTATTTTTGCCCCGAGCGAAGGAAATGTGTCTTTTTTCGATATATATACAAGTACAATAATCCTGGGGAAGGGAGTATTTTTGAAGTAGAGGTGGTTTGAAAATGCTTTATAAATAAAAACCTAAAACAATCTACGTGAATTTATTCTTTCGAAAAATTAGTTGGTCTGAAGTAGTTGGTTGCTGTTGTCAAATCTAGGTTCGAATGATGACATTTTCGAAATACAAATGTAGATACAGAGAGGCCAAGTCGGCGGCGGATCCCGGTGTACAAAGTACCCAAGCCACCGGCTGGGTACGAATTTCGGTCAGAAAGCCCGATCCTGACCCAGGTCGGCAACGTGACGAAGCCGTACTACAAGAACAACTGGGTCAGCCTGGATGTCAGGTCACTCGTGCAGGACTGGTTCAAGGACCCCACCACCAACTACGGGATTATCATCGGTGGACCCGGCGAATCCGACAGCAGTTTCGTCGTTGCCAGAGCTGCGAATGTCACGTCAACGCACGGTCATGAGGAGGGGAATGTAATGCTCGTTATACTTTTAAATTATTGATTGCCAGCTCCTCGAGTGTAATTCATTATTTAATACTATTATTTTGGACTCATAGGTGCCGTACTTGGAGATTCAAGTCAGCGAGCATAATCGACGAACCCGCACGAAGCGAAATGTCGGGCTCGATTGCGACGATTCTTTGCGAAACAAAAATCTCTGCTGCCGACATCCCCTCGTTGTCGATTTCGAAACCATTGGCTGGGATTGGATCATTGCACCCAGAAGGTATCTTGAGCACAAGCGCGAAACACCTCGTAGCGAGTCATTTCCTGCTGTATCTAGATGTCGCTGCAGTGTAAAAGAATGCCCTCTGCTCTTCATGCAGTTAATACGCAAAGAAATGCACATGCACAGAAAACGTTAGGAATATAAGTTGCTGCTTACCAGATCTGAAAATAAAACGACTCGAATTTTCGGTCATGATTGATGCTCTATAAGCGTTTCTCATGCCACACTCTTCTATAAACTTTTCAATTTTTTCAATTGAAGCGTCGACTATATATGCAGGTGGCAAACTGAATAAGCTATCGATATTCGATGGTCCGATAATCTAACTCACACGGAGTTAAAGAAGAAGTACTTTGATTGATTTTATTCTAAAATCCGCGATTCAGGTTTTATCTGCGGTACTTTTTATTAGTAAGGGTTATGGTGCAGAAGTCACAGAAAGTGAGCTTTGCTGGTGTAAAAAACCAATTTTTAACTCTAAAAACTTTTAAACAGCGAAATAAGGTTTTCAATATGTGTTCAGAGTAACATGCGACTTGCATGAACACTTTTTTCAATAAGAACTTCCAACTTGCTTGTTCTACAGTTAATAAAATTGTATAAGTACTTTTCCTACATTTTGAAAAAATCATTTTTTGACTGCACGCGGTGCGTGCAGGTTCGAGGAACATAACTACTAATCCTTCGGGAAATATTGCTCATTCCATTTACCCTTGTATGATAGGCAATTAACCAGTCTGAAAGACTTGAATCGGGCCAATATATGCGTCAAAATGTTATATCACTGAATTTAAGATGCAAGAATTGACACTCCTTGAGTGCTTGTATACAGTGTAACAGGCAAACTTTTCTTCCCGAATCCAATAGACTCGTGGGATTTTTCGGAACATGCCTCAACCTAACGTAATTTTTACCAGCAGTTGGAGCATTCTTGCGGTTTAAAAAAATAATAACAACAAATAAGTAAAGCCTATTCGATTAATTGAAATGAAAAAAATCACCTGTTGAAGCAACTTCTTTGCCGTCATCCCGTCAATGCCCATACAAAGTGTAGAGGTCGCTGGTTAATGTACAATGATGCACTTAGGGCGGAAAGAAGCTTTCTTTGAAGAAAATCTAGCTTCTAGTGCATTGAAAGTTGCCTCTTTCGTAGGATTTCCGGTTGAGTGGTGCTCAAAGATTTCGCCTCTTCCTCTCACACAGGAATTACGATGAAAGTTCCACTGCACAGCATTACTATTCCATTGTTTTCGAAACTGTAATTCAGACTTATTAGTCGAAAGCCCTCGATTCTGTGGAGATGGACCTGAACGAATATTACACTAAAGAGGGTGATCGAGTTGAAAGAAGGATCTTGGGGTAATTTTGCTCATCTTGCGTGAAAAATACAAGTTAAAATTAACTTTTAACCAACTCCGCTTCCATCACCGAATTTCTGATGCAATTTTTTGAATTGAGCGTGAGTTTCAAGTATCAAATATTATTTTATACAATATACTTATTTCGTGGACAACTGAGCTGTAATTCACCTCTTTCAGAAGAGAAGAAAATTGAACATCTTCGGCTTGAAAGAAACAAATTATCCAAATAAGGTTTTGCAAGAAGGATGAATTACTTCCGAATTTCAACTGCACGGTTTTACGCAGGAGATCGATAAAATAAAGTCCATGCTTGAGATTGGTTAAAAATTGAGATTTTTGAAAATTTGTCGCTTTATTCCAAAAGTTATACACAAGTCTCATTGTACGCTGAACGTACTTGTGAAAAAAGTTATTCTTGAAGGTTGAACGAACAAGATGTCAATTAAAAATTGTATAAGTACTTTTCCTACATTTTGAAAAAATCATTTTTTGACTGCACGCGGTGCGTGCAGGTTCGAGGAACATAACTACTAATCCTTCGGGAAATATTGCTCATTCCCTTTACCCTTGTATGATAGGCAATTAACCAGTCTGAAAAATTTAAATCGGGCCAATGCGTCAAAATGTTAAATCACTGAATTTAAGATGCAAGAAATGACACTCCTTGAGTGCTTGTATACAGTGTAACAGGCAAGCTTTTCTTCCCGAATCCATTAGACTCGTGGGATTTTTCGGAACATGCCTCAACCTAACGTAATTTTAACTAGCCGTTGGAGAATTCTTGCGGTAAAAAAAATAATAACAAATAAGTAAAGCCTATTTAATTCATTGGAATGAAAAAATATATCTCCCGTTGAGGCAGCCTCTTTGCCTTAATCCGGTCAATGCCAATATACGGGAAAAAAAAACTGTAGAGGTCGCTGGTTGATGTACAATGATGCACTTGGGCGGAAAGAAGCTTTCTGTGAAGAAAATCTAGCTTCTAGTGCATTGAAAGTTGCCTCTTTCGTAGGATTTCCGGTTGAGTGGTGCTCAAAGATTTCGCCTCTTCCTCTCACACCGGAAGTACGATGAAAGTTCCACTGCACAGCATTATTATTCCATTGTTTTCGAAACTGTAAGTCAGACTTATCAGTCGAAAGCCTTCGATTCTGTGGAGTTGGACCTGAACGAATATTACTTTAAAGAGGGTGATCGAGTTGAAAGAAGGATCTTGAGGTAATTTTGCTTATCTTGTGTGAAAAATACAAGTTAAAATTAAATTTTAACCACCTCCGCTTCCATCACCGAATTTCTGATGCAATTTTATAAATTGAGCGTGAGTTTCAAGTATCAAATATTATTTTATACAAAATATTTCATTCGTGGACAACTGAGCTGTAATTCACCTCTTTCAGAGGAGAAGAAAATTGAACATCTTCGGCTTGAAAGAAACAAATTATCCAAATAAGGTTTTGCAAGAAGGATGAATTACTTCCGAATTTCAACTGCACGGTTTTACGCAGGAGATCGATAAAATAAAGTCCATGCTTGAGAAATTGAGCATTGATGAATTGGATTCTACAGTACTGTATTTTAAAATCAATTATCGTTTGCCACGAACCTCAAGAATTATTATACTGTAATTGGATGTTGTGATTATGTGAAGTACAGTGGCCCCCGCCTAACAGACCTCCCGTGTAAGGGATTTTCGCCAAACAGACCAGCTCTGCAAGCAGTTTTTCCTCCCACCCAACAGACAAAATCCGCCAAACAGACTTCTTTTGGTTTAAAATTAGTGTTGAAAATTGAAATTTTTAATTTTTTATGTAATTGAATTCGTATAAAGGACTTTTTGTCTAACAGACTCGTCCCTTGCACGAATCAAGTCCGTTAGACGGGGGTTGACTGTACAATACAGTATTTCATCAATAATCTTGCGCTAAGCTGCGGTATGAACTCGTTAAAGGAATTGCTGTTGTGACACTTTTCAATATTTTCGTTCGAAATGTTATGCAGCTTCTATATGCAAGCATTTCGATGATTACCTTAGATCTGGAGTGAATCAGATTTGATACCGGCGTCTGTCGGATTACTTGCGTAAAATTGAATTAATTTTCGTATGAATTAGGATATTCGCTTCCGGTACGAATGTGTCACGCAGACTTCAAATTTAGCTTCATCCGTTTTCAATGCAAACAGTTTGAATGCTCTTTTCAAAATAATTTGTCACCGAAACAGAAAAAGAAATGCGTTCAGCTGCCAATTTGAAATATTTTTCCACAAATTTTAGTACATATCTATCAACGGAGCAACATGAATAGTTATTATAAGCTTTAATATTATGTGAAATACTTTGTCTTTTCTGTTTGAACCGCTCTCAATTTATTTTCTATGAAAATCACGACGATTTAAGGCATTCTTCTATATTACCGTAATAAAATCGAAAATATTTCTGTCGGAATATTTGATAAAAGAGAAAAAATATTGAAATGATGGTCAGTTTGACTTTCCTGGACCGTGGTGATATATTCTGTATTTGGTTGCTTTGTTTTTCTTATCGCTGAAGAACATAATAAAAATTTGACAATTTGACCTTGAATCAGCCCCTAAGGTGTCGTCCGACTGTTGAACCCCATCGGAACGGGATTATTTTATTGCTGCAGAAACCGCAAATTTTTGTTTGAATCTTTAGGTTTTGGAACCTCTCACATGGAATAACTAACAAAAATGCCTCCATATAAAAATCTTATACCGCAATAAAGATCTAAAATCGAGACGACAATAGCCATAATTAAATATTCTTCCCAAACTGACGAGATCAGTGTTATTGTAAGAAAATCATAGGTATAACTCTCCTTTCAAATTTTCGATGTTCTATAATTGAAGCCACGGTGGAACACAGGTACTGTATTCAAAAATACTTGAAATTTATGATACAGTAACTGCAAAATAATTGTCTCACAATTGTTTTTGAACTAATTTTTTTCATCCGTATAGCAAGGATTAATCGAGGGACACTTTTACGTATCCCTCACAACTTTTCTTTCAAATCCAAAGCGCGAGGAAAAAAGAAAAGTGGACACCAGATGCGCAAGCATTTGACTTGCAGTAAAACTGTAAAAGCCAGCATAATAATGGGCGTACACACGTTTTGACGAGTCGCTGGATATATTCCGTAAATTCGTGTACAGTATATATATTCATGGGCATGAAACGAAGCGTTGACTCGGAATGATACGTTCGTGCTGCCGAGACTGGAATTTTCATCAGAATAATGGATGCCCCGCAAATTGTGTTTCGTTTCCATCAGCTACCACGCTTTCCATTGCGCCGGTTATTGCGAGCCTCTGCACATGCCGGAATACCATCACACCATCATCGTCGGCCAGAAGCTGATTGTCGACACCGACATCAACGGCTACGATCCGAGAAGCATCTACGGCAACAGGCCTCCACCTGTCGCGTGTTGCGCCCCGAAAAAGCTTTCCGCTCTTTCCCTGCTTCACTTCACCCCGGACAGCGAGATCATCGTGTCCAAAGTCCCGGAAATGATCACGGATTCCTGTACTTGCGCCTGAGGATCTTCTCGCTTGAAGTCACGGCCTTCGTCCTGGGCACTCAATTTTTTGAAAGAAAACAAAAATGCGACCAGTCAAGAGATTCGCAGAGAGCTTCAGTGTGTCCGGAAATGCGCTTCGTTTTGATTCCTGCTGTAAAAAAAAAAACTGACTCGAAAGTTGTGTAACTATCCCAATTTTCTTGGAATGCATCAGTGGGATGTGCTTGAGATGCTGTAGGTGTGGCGAACGCTCTTTTCCTCGCTGCTGCGATAAAAAAAAAAAGCCTGGCTTCTTATTTAGCTCCGATTTGTGGATGAGAGAATTTTAGTGTGTGTGGGCATTTGCGCGGAAGGAATCTCTGCGATACCTCAAGTATACAAGATGTTCGGCGAGGAAAATGGAATTCAGGGAAACATACATTTATTCATTTCTCGATTAAATTTCCGCTCGAAAATTATCCCGAATTTCGCAATACGCAGCAGCTTCCGACTCAAATCGTCAGATAATAACGACAAACCTCTCACGGTTGATACCCTTGGAAAATTCCGTAGTACTGCTTAAAGTTGAGGATCCCCCGATTGCTTGATTGGAATATAAAAAAAGAACGAGCAGATAGTACAAATTTTTATTCATGAGAGTAATGGAAACTCGAAATGCAGTGTTAAAATGTACAGGTGGAAAATGAAAAGAAGGTCGAAGAAGGTTGAAAATTGTTACTGTCGAAGTCTATGCTTCATTTTGGTCGATTCTTCCTAGGATTTATAATGAACGAAATGCACTGAAACTTTCATCTTTTATTTTGTTTTGTTTGAATTCTCTGGAAAGACAGTGCTGAGAAGATTGACTTGGTGATTCTGAAAATGGCTTTGTTTGCGGGAAAATGGAAAGAGAGAACTTTGTCGGATTAAAATCGCAAAGTGACGCTCAAATGCGGTAATTACAAATAGCTTTCTGGAGGGTGTATCAAAAAAAAAGAGTAGAAAAGTGGGAATCGTGAGAAAAGGGCGGTTTTGCCATCTGCTCTGAAAGGTTGTTGATGTCCGTAACTATGAGTGAATATTTGTCTGGATAGAGGATTAGTAGACATTTTGGTAATTTTTTTTTCTCCACGCATCCATTCGATTTGAAAAAAAAAATAGGCACGCAAATTCCATCATTCCAGCAATGGAACTTGGATCCCATCAGAAATATGCGAGAGTTTTAAATACGATTTTCTTTTGTTCTCCTCTGTTTGCATGCAGTCCCCTCGGCGCATTCTTCAGCTGTATCTCCCGTCGTTGTTTTTAAATTAAAAAAAAGAAAATTCACTTCGGATGTTATAGAAAAGGCAGCAGAGAGCGATTCGGAAGCGTCGCATTTGATGGGATGTCAATGGCGGAAGTTATAAGCGGCGAATCGATGATGGGAATAAAGAACCTTCAAATAACGTTTTCCGTCTTTTCCCTGCTGATTTATGGTGTTGCACCTTGTGTTTGTTCACTATGCATAGTCGAAACCTGTTCAGTATTTGCACACAATGGCCATTGAACTCGTCTTGTCAGAGACAGGCTCCTTTTCGAGATGGTCAACGGTATATAAGTGTACCAGAGCAGAGACCCGTGCTGTGGCTGGAGAAGTTGGAGCAAACAAGAGCCCTTCCGTCGTTGCTAAGTGCTTCCCTAAATAATTCAACTACGACGTCATGTTTACCTCACAAAGAAGCAGAAATTCTTAAATGTTCTCAAAAGAAAAGAAAAGCATATCCCGGCTGGTTTGGATGAGATGGGTACATTTACTATACATCTCGGGCCGCGAAATTTTCCTCGAAAAAAACCTTTTTGTTCCTACACGCGATTCAGTCCGTGCAAACAAAGATTTTGCGCACGTATAAGAAATTTGCATGCTTCAAAGTTTTCTCTTTCATAGGAAGCAAGCTAAACAAAAAAGGGAAGCGTTTTAAACACGCAGTACTTTCAAATGCTCTCTTATAGCATACACCAAATGCATATTCACTGTCACATTTCTTCAATGTTTCTCAACCTGCTACAAGTGCAACAAAGCCTTTTTACACAGATTTATTTTCAAGGACCCTGGGTATTTTCAAACTAATTTTCTCCACCGCAAGTCCCGAAGACTTCAAGGTAAGAATGTTTTCATGAACAGCCGTATAATCTTGTAACAACGTATTTCAATAAATGTATTACCACGAAGAATTAATTTCACGGTCCATCCAACATGCATACAATTTTAATTATGTTTATGTTCAACAACAGTTTTCCCCAAGTCCTGAAGTCTTCTTTGAGATACAATTTTACTTCATTTTAAATGACACTGTTTCTGATGGTTCTGCAATTTTACAAAAACTTTTTAATGATTCAAAAAATCGCTCAGCAGTTGATGAATTATCATTCCACGAAGAACAAAGAAACACAATGTAAATGAAATTAAATTAATTGAAAAAGGTATATGACGTGGATCAGTCTGAGATTCTATTCCTAATGAACAGAAAGGATTGTTTTCCGTTGACCCAAGATATTTCTGTGTTTTAGCGTATTTTTGTTTGACCAGAGCTAGGTCACCAAATTTGAGCTTGAGCTGAGGATCCAAAGTCCGAAATAATTGGCACGGATAAACCCTTCGTTTCCTAAGACATTCTAAATACTCATCCCAACACGCTCAAAATGCTCCTTGCAACAAAAAAGTCGCCTGCTGGTGAATAATCCGACCAAAAGCAACAATTTTCTGTACCAGAAGAGAAATTACTGTATATTCGAAAATTTGTGGGCTTTGACAACATAAATTAGCATTGCTATTTCATTTCTGTGTACATATGACATTTCTAAGGCACATACAGTGAGACTCCCAGATACGGACGTAATTGGTGCATCAAGAGTGTCCCTAAGTTGAATTGTCCCTAAGTCAAGTTTTGTTTTCCCAAAGAGTTACATGAAATAATTTTTAATTGGCATTTAATGGAAGAAATATTCTTCAGAATTCCATGAAAAATATTGTTTGCCAGAACTTAAACTAAGTCACTTATAGTAAAGTTCAGTTAGTCTTGTAAACCTCGTAACTTATCACATGGAGACATGTCATGCGACTTTACAACCGTAGACGTTTTGATTGTAAGTTCAGTTTTTGTCACAAGGAAGTCCCTCTATACAATAGGTAATTTTTTAAATTAGCTGAATGGATGGGAAAATGATGGGAGAAATACCAAGGCATTGTTTTTGCATAAATTCAGGGTTGGAAATATTTGTTTCTTGCAATCAAGCCTAATAAAATTCAATTTTTGTGAAATTTATTGGTAATTATATCATGCAATATGTCCTCATGTCAAGTCACTGTCTGTATTTTGGGCCTTTTATATGCCTTTTAATTGAAAAATAAATGTCCCTATGCTGCATTATCTGCATGTCAAGGCATCCACATGTGGGGGTCTCACAGTATCCTGTCTAATTTGCAGGAGACTTTTAGTGAGCTTTAAAATATTGTAGATGGGTTCACTCACATTAATCAATTAATTTTCATGGCGAATTTTGATTGTGTTGATGTTGGCAGTTGCGTTTATTGCACTTGAATCATACAAATAAAGAGTAATGGAAAAACGCATCGGTAAAATGAAGCCTATTCCACAAAAGACAAGCAATGAGCTCAAGATAGAAATTCACGAACTTAAATCGAATGATTCGCAATGAACAATTTTGTTTCTATCGTACTGGTAGTCATTTACAGTACTTCTACTGGTTCTGCACTTTAATCGTATACCAAGAGTAAATGAGACAACAGGTGCAGAATAAAGGTTATTTCTCGTAATAAGACTGTTAAAGAGCTCTAAAATAGAGGTTCACTCACTTGAATCGAATGATTTGCATCGTGACGTTTTGATTATATCGGATGGTAGTTATGTTTACTGCATTCGACTCTCAACCAACTGTAAATTAGGCAACAGTCGTAGAATTAAGTTACTCCTCATCCCAATATACGAATGTAGGGCAGGGTACATGTGGGGAGATACATAAAATGGCCATGGAAAATCTCGTCGGGGTTTATGGTTACTCGGATGCATTCCCCCTAGCACACGACGCGGAAAAAGCCTTAGGGAATCCCATGCATGGTCACTTGCTCTTCTCCGAGTCCACTTTATTCTCAAGTCCCCATAGTCACTGAATGATCTCTTTGTATGTTTCCCCACGCCGAGATATTCTGCACCACCCAAACGGGGATTCAAACGAGTGTATATATCCCGAGAAGAAAAGATATCTCCGGAGGAGCGGGTTTTCCACGGCGGAGTTCGTCTGTGTTTTCGCGCTGAATTGCCCCCCTCAGCAAAATAAGTTTATACTGCGAATTCCTGGTAAGTCTCTGGCCTACGAATATCAAGGTCCGCCTTAAGACTATCGCATTCAGCTGGCGCTTCCGTAAATACCCTAGAGCCAGAAAAATGAAGGCCCAAAATAAAGGGGAAAACTTCGCAAGGCCCAAGGCAGCACTTAGAGATGATACTCTGAGGGAGAAACGTGTTTGGGGTTCGGATTACCCTGGTTATTTTCCAAGGAACCTGCGCGTTTTTGTTGGGCATTAGCACTGGGTCTGAAATGGGTAATGGCGGATATTGTCCAAAATGAACTCGGAAAAAGTCAGAGCGAACAGGAACAATATTTATTCCGATAAAAATTGACTAAAATACTTCGCACGTCACATCGTGACTGAAAGTGAAGTACAATAAATGAATAAAGCCTTTTATCAACAGTTTCGGATCCCTTCACTGAATACAGTTGAATTATTTTACCATTAAACTGTACTGCATAACTATTTGAGGAAGAAAAAATATATTAAATTTCAACTATGATTGAACCTGGATAATTCAAACATCTCTCAAACTTTTACCAATGACCTAATGTCTGGATTCCCTTAGAAATAATGTATTAAAAACTTCCCTAACCCTGAGGCTTTCCTTCTCATGCTAACTCAAGTTCTCTGGAGGGCTTTTGGCTTTTATTTTATTGATGTGGGAAAGATAAACGCAATGAAATGTATGAATGCATTCTGAAAGGAAGTGAAAGACTATTTATGAAATCAAACCTTTGCCTCCAAGTCCTGCATCCTGTCAATTCATTTAAGAAGCTTTTTAAAGCCCAGAATATGACCAATTAAAATTTTCTGTAATTTTTTTCCAACAGAAAAATACTAGTTTCCGCCCCCAAAGATCTCAAGATCTCCACATAACTAGATATTTTGTGTGGGTACCTTGAAATTGGACTTGAAGTTAAGGTTTAACTGTATTAAAAAGCTTTTCTATTAGTAATCCCGGTGATAATGTTTTATTACGACCTTTTATTGGAATAAAGGACGAAATTAAAGTATCATGCGCCACTTGCATTTTCATGACTGACGTCAGAAAATTTTGCAGAGATAGTGGCGTCTCCGACGTTGTTCTGAAGTAGAGAATAGATTACAAAATTTAGAAATTGCATGAATTTGGCTTCTAAAATATTGTATGTGCATACGGTACTGTATTCTTTTATATGACTTGTATCAAAATTTCAAAGCTCATTCACATCGGTTGCATATGAACATTGCTTCCCTCAAAACTGACGTGATTATTTGTACAATATGACAAGAATGTCGAAGTTTACCATGAAGTGTCTTGTATGTTCATAAAAAAATAAATTTTGCTTTTGTGACTATAGCGGCCAGAAAATTGACTTCGCTCGCATTGTCATGGAAAATGCCCTATTATGGACATAGTTTCAAATCGATCAGACTTGTGTTGATACCCTTTTTTCTAAGGATTTGTTCTTCTCTGACAAATGCATAAGCATCACAGCTTGAATAAATAGTCTATGCAAAGCTCTTTTCCGAATGCTTATTTCTCGTCAAAATAGACGCTTGTCAGAACCTTCAAAGGAAACCCGTTTGATGATACACAAATATTCCGATGGGAGGAAAAACCTTTCCTATCTCTGATCGATCAGAATATATATTGTACTTCGGTATTGGAAAATCGACTGAGCCAGATATGCAAGAAAACTTGAATCGGCAAAGAAATTCCTCTCATGGGAAAAATAGGAATTTAACGCAAGTAGAACTTAGTATTTTCATATTTGCTACGTGAGCGGAGCGGGCCCTACGCAGCGAAGTAGTACCCTCTAAAGGTCGAGTGCAGCGGGAAATACTTTTCTGCTGGGCCAGAAGGTAGAATCCGCTTCCGACGAAGTCATCGTGAGGGTTTACACGCCCACGGAAAAACACAGTGCAGTAATTGCCAAGAAACAAGCACAAATGTGATTTATTGCGTGTCACCGTCAGCTGCAATACAACGACTGCGTTCTTATGTCGTCAGTGGAGCTCTCGTGCGTAGCGGTGTTCTAGCGGGCGCGCCTTTTGACTGCAGTGTTAACAGAAGTCGTGTAGAAGTTACGAGGTAGTATGTGTAAAGGCAAA